TGAAGACGACGGTGGGATCTCGTCGGATTCAGACTCGGACTATTCGAATGAGGAGGAAGATGAGGACGAGGATGAAGAAGAATTCGTTGATGCAATGCAAACGCCGCCTAAGACACCCGGTACGCCTGCGGCCGCGCCAGATGTAGAAATCACACCCGCGTCTCCCTCCTCTCTCACTCAAACTCCCAACACACCTACGCCTGCGATGAGGCCTTCCCCGACACCGCGCTCGCCATCTTTCATGCGTCTCAAGTTTCCACGCCGGAATACTGGCAACAGCGGCACGAGCAGTCCAACATCGACAGTGGACGAAGACCAACCGAAAGAGGACGTCAAGGAGAAGAAGAAGCGGTTCAGGAAGAGCTTCCCGTCGCCTGTATCTGTCGGCAGGAAGAGAAAGGGCAAGGAGTTCAAACTTCCCGGCCCCAACGATATTGTGGGCATCGTTATGCTTGAAATTAAATCTGCTGGTGCGTTGTGTTCCAATTGTTGGCGGTTTTGCGCTGATGTCCCAACGACAGAGGATCTGCCAAAGCTTTCGAACAGTGAGTCTGTCTCTTTTGGTGGAAGTGAGTCCTGCAGGATATTATGCGGGCTGTCTCTGGTGAGCACTGCACTGGTCTTGGTGCTTACTCGGTGATGCTTATTGCATGTTCATTAGGATTGCCGCTCGCGCAGGATCTCTGCGGCGCTGGGTTCGTCAGACCTTTGCTAACTCATTGTCAGTGACCCGCACCGGCTGGGACATGGATCCGTTTGTGGTTATCTCCTTTGGGAAGAAGGTTTTCCGCACCCGCGTTATCCGTCACTCGCTTAACCCTGTGTGGGACGAGCGTCTACTATTCCACGTTCGCAAGCACGAGACAACCTTTGGGCTGCACTTTACGGTCTCTGATTGGGACAAGTTGTCTTCGAACGACTATATCGGCGACAGCTCGTTTTCGGTACAGGAATTGTTGGAGGACGCGGAGAAGTGCGATGAGGAGACAGGCCTGTATCCGATCTCGTCAAACCCGGAGACTCTCTCGGATAAGATGAAGGAGTTCAAGCTTGATATCTCGACGGGCAAGGAGAGCGTGTGGGCGAAGCGGCATAAACCTGTGCTTACTGTGCGTGCGAAGTACCAGCCGTACGATGCTCTGCGCCAGAAGTTTTGGCAGAAGTACCTCACGCAGTACGACACTGACGACACGGGCTGTGTCTCGCACCTGGAGTTGACTTCGATGTTGGACTCGTTGGGCTCGACACTGACAAAGACGACGGTGGACGCGTTCTGGTCGACATACGGCAAGAATCCTGCCACGGATGAGCTTACCATCCCCGAGGCGATTCAGTGTTTGGAGGCCGAGCTCATGCGGCCGGATAGCGAGAAGCGGACTATTGCCGAGAACGAGACCGGGATGGATACGAGTGTGAGTGCGACGCCGGTGTTGAGTGTGAGTGGCTCTCGCGGGGAGGAGCTACCGTTGCAGGGTCTGGATTTCAGCGGGCCGCCGATGACGGCGAGGGCGGGAGTGGGTGCTGGCGAAGGCGCTGATGTTGTGCCACCGCCGCCTGTGCCTACGGAGCCTGCGCAGGTCCCGCTGGACCGAAGGAACCCGTCGTATTCGAGCTCGTCCGATGCAGACTTGGATGAGGATGTGCAGACGACTGTGACGCGAAAGCGGATGAGTCGGTTCAAGAAGAAGGGCAAGAAGGGGACTGCTTCCTCTGGCGGGTCGTCTGGTGGAAATTCCGGCAGTGGGAGTTCGCCTCCGTCGAGCGAGTCGTCGGTTGACCCCGTCGAGCGGGTTATCAACGTCAAGAACTGCCCGATGTGCCATCGACCCCGCATGAGCAGCAAGGCTGAGGTGGACATTGTGACTCACCTTGCGGTGTGTGCGTCTAGTGATTGGAGCAAGGTTGGCGAGATTGTGGTTGGGAACTTCGTGACGGCGAGTCAGGCGCAGCGCAAGTGGTATGGTCGCCTTGTCGGCAAGATTTCTGGCGGTGATTATAAGCTGGGTGCGAATTCCGGAAATATCATCGTGCAGAACAGGATGACGGGCATGCTAGAAGAGGAGAAGATGCAGGTGTACGTTAGGATGGGGATTCGGTTGTTGTATAAGGGAGCGAAGGGCCGCATGGAGGGTGGTCGGGCGAAGAAGCTTTTGAAGAGCATGAGCATCAAGCAGGGTGTGAAGTATGATGACCCGGCGAGTGCGAAGGATATTCCTGCATTCTTGAATTTCCACTCGTTGAACGTGGATGAGATTTTGGACCCGTTGGACTCGTTCAGTGAGTTGTCTTTTTCCTGGATTCCGGATAGTGTGCTGACTATGCCTGTCATTAGAAACGTTCAATGAGTTTTTCTATCGCAAGCTTAAGCCGACTGCCCGTCCGCTTGACTCACCGGGGAACGAGTCGCGTATTGTGTCTTCGGCGGACTGCAGACTGATGGTGTTCCCGACGGTGACGGATGCGACCCGTTTGTGGATCAAGGGCAGGGAGTTCACCGTTGCGAAGCTCTTGGGCTGTGAGAATGAGACTGGGCCTGGTGAGTAACTCTTCGGCATGAGGGAATGGTCAACTGATATGCACTTGGTTGCAGGTGCGAAGTATGCGAAGGATATCTCCAAGTACCATGATGGTGCGGTTGCGATTTTCAGGCTTGCGCCGCAGGACTACCATCGATTCCATTGCCCTGTTGCGGGAACGATTGGGGAGATGACGGATATTGCGGGGGAGTATTATACTGTTAACGTGAGTGGGACGATCGTCTTTGCACTGGACATGGGAGCTCACCTTTTTTCTAGCCTCAAGCGATTCGTACGGCGTTGGATGTGTATGGCGAGAATGTGCGGAAGATTGTGCCGATTGACTCTCCGGTCTTTGGTCGTGTGATGGCGGTGTGCGTTGGCGCGATGATGGTTGGGACGATTCGGACGACGGTTGAGGAGGGGCAGGAGGTGCAGCGTGGTCAGGAGTTTGGGTACTTCGCGTTTGGAGGGAGTACGATTGTGATGTTGTTTGAGAAGGGGAGGGTGGAGTGGGACGAGGACTTGGTGGTCAATTCGAGGGCGAGTTTGGAGACGCTTGTTAGGGTTGGGATGGGTATTGGGAACGCCAAGTAGGGGGTTGTTTGTGGAGGATTGTCTTGGTTGCGGGGTATGCGCGAAACGTGATGAAAGGACGGACGGTATGATTATTTTTTTTCGAGCGGACAATAGTTGTTTGAAGGTGTATTTATATACAGCAACGTATCGGCGAGCCTAATCCAAAGAAGTACAGCAGTTCTTTTGCATTGAAGCAGTTGATGATCGTTGAGAGGACTGCTAGTGTCGATGTAGTCGTTGTTCATGGTGTGCTGCACGCTTTGAGCTATCGTTCTAATCTGTCTTCGTGGCCCGAGACCGCGCGGGGCGGAGCTTATGACAGGTCTACTAAGTAGCACAAGCGGATATGATAATGTGGTCTTTGCCGTAACAATAACTTCGCACAATATGTCTTCGCCCTATCTGTACTCATTTATTTATTTGTACAATAATATGGCCTCGGTTTTTACAATAAGACAGGTGTTTCCTTATAAGAGCGGGGATTGTGAAAGCTGCATCGTCCAAGCGCGGTCGTAGTCGCAGCCTTCTATATCTCGATGTCTCTCGGCGACGTAGCTGCGAGCCCTAGCACCTCTACGCTCGATGTCTCATCCTCTCGGCGTATACAGGCACCTAGGGCTCCTGCGTCGCCAGTCCGCTGCGCGAACAGGGCGGGTCCCTCGACTGTGCATTGGATTCCCTCGGATACAGACGTCGGGATGCAGAAAGAAGAGAGGAGGAAAGGTGCGAAGTTGCGGAAGAAGAAGAAGAGGCTTTTGGATGTTGTGATGGAGGCGAACGCGTCGGAGTCTTCGCGTTGGGGAGGGGTTGGGAACGAGTCCACTGGGATGCTGGATTATCACCCAGATCCAGATGCCCTAGGAGTAAACCACACGAAGGTTAGGAAACGCAATGGCTCGAGCGTAAGCCTCCTCCTCTCCACTTTCAAGGCGAAGTTTTCGAACATGCGTGAGAGGGTGGTGGAGGGTGGGATGAGTCTGTCGAGCGCCAGTCTCCTTTCATTGCCTCAGACTCCTCAGACATCTCGGGGTCCTTACGAAGGGAGTGTTCCCAGTCCGTTGGGGAAAAATGCGAGCGAGTCAACGAGGACGCTGCCTATGTCGCCGAGGAAGCTGCAGAAGCCGCGTAGGGCTCGGAGAGAGGCGTATGTGTATTGCGAGTAGTAGACACTGGGACTGAGACTGGGACAAATTCTCATTATTATGGCCTGTGTTTTTGTTTGGTATAGATTTGAGTCATCATCATTCGAGTACAAGTGCTTTTTACCTCGTCGTAATGACTGCAAGCACTAAACGCGAACAAAACGAGCGCATGATGGTGAAAGAGGCGATCGGAGTAGAATTGACCAACATCAACACAAAACATTTGAGTGAGAAGCAGGCGCAAGGACTAGTAAGTCTAGAGACAAAGAAAGACGGACCTCTTTACTTACCGTACATTATGACAAAACATTTTTAGCTGTCGCTCTGGGGAATGTTGACTCAAATATAAGGCAAGGGCGTTTAGCTCAGTGGTAGAGCGCCCGCTTTGCATGCGGGAGGTCCGGGTTTCAATCACCCGAGTGTCCAATAAACCAATATTCGCCTTTTTTGGCTTTTAAATGTGCATTGTGGCATCTACTCACCTACCGTCCTCAGGCCGTGCTCATGTTTTTGGTCCTCGGATTTACAAGCCGTTGACGGTTGCGCACCCGTCGGGCAGTTCCGGTCCTTGGGCTTGTGCGTTTGGATTTAGGCATCAGTCATGTAAGTCTTTCCAGTCTGAACCAATGTGAGCACTGAGCCCAGACCTAGGGCGAAATTAATTGCGTTGTCAATATAGACAGGCATGCATGTTCTGGTAAAAAGGACCAATTTACGCTTTCAACCAAAAAAATAAAAAGGACCAATTCGAGTGGATATTTCATGGACATTCAGGGGATTGAACCCTGGGCCTCTCGCATGCAAAGCGAGCGCTCTACCACTGAGCTAAACGCCCTCGGAGGTGGCACTTGTCACGTCCTTATGTCACACGTCACAAATTAGGTATAGAACCTGGTATGACGCACACGCGCCGATCAGTCGCGCGCTTGCTTCCTGCACTACGGTCATCATCATCACCAGTGCTTTACGACGTCGCCTTGCTAGAACGATAATTGTGACGCAGGGGACAGACGATTTGGACGCAAACTACGGGGCTACTGGCTTTGAGCTCAAACGAACGACAGCAGGATTGCTACGCTTCACGACTTGGATTTGGATTAGTACTTGGATACGCATAACCCCTACGCCTCCTGTTGCGGACGATGTCTGGTCCATCATGGCACTATGTGATTAAATTCATCATTACTGGGAACGCGGCTGTTGGAAAGTCGTCGCTCCTGATCCGACTGACCGACCAGCGATTCCTGGCGAACCCGGACCCTACGCTTGGTGTTGAGTTTGGTAGCAAGATTGTGCGCGTAGATGTTGGCAGTCCTGGTGCGTTTTCTGCGCAGACCTTATTCCTCAACTAACGATGAACAAATAGACGCACCTGAGGAGAAAGTGGTGAAGCTGCAGTGCTGGGACACGGCAGGAACAGAGAGTTTCAGGAGTATCACTCGGAGCTATTATCGCGGGGCAGCGGGGTGTTTGCTGGTGTACGATGTGACGGATAGGAAGAGTGCGTTTTCCCCCTCCCCTCCCCGTCCTCCCGTTAACGGACTCCCAGGCTTTGAGAGTGTACGGTCGTGGCTGGCGGATGTGCGGGAACACGCGGACCCGCACCTCACCTGCATCCTCGTCGGGAACAAGGTGGACCTGTGCGCGGGGGAGAACAGTCCTCCTCCGACTCCCGTCTACCTCGACCGGAGCGCACTCCAGCGGACGCGCGCGGTAAGCACGGAGGAGGCCGCGAAGTACGCAGCGGAGGAGGGTCTCTTGTTTGTCGAAGCCAGCGCGAAGAGCGGGGAGGGCGTGGAGAGGGCGTTCGAGGAGGCGACGAAGGATATCTTGGCCAAGATTGCAAGAGGCGTCTTTGATGATGACAGAGTGCGTACCACTAACCCAGACATCCTACGACCCCAAACTTACAGCTTACACAGTCGCCCGGTGTCAAACTCTCAAAGCCAAATCCTAATAGCCTGCAGCTCGAAGGGACGAAGATGGGCACGACATGTTGTTCGTAGACTCGAATGGACATTGGTAGATGTATTTCAGGTTGGAGGCGATGTGTATGTATACTATTATTTTTGCTGCTTGAAGCGCATTTTGGTTATTCATTGTTCAGTGGGTGTCTTGCCTAAACCGTCGGGTGTCCGCTGGCCTCCTCGCAACAAGGGCGTTTAGCTCAGTGGTAGAGCGCTCGCTTTGCATGCGAGAGGCCCAGGGTTCAATCCCCTGAATGTCCATGAAAGACAATGTCGAATTGTTTTTTAAATAGAATATGTATGCTTGTCTGTGAGCCCCAGTCTAACTGTCTGTAATACCGTAAATCTTACTTCCGATTGGTTTTCACATTTTTCTTTTACATAGCGATTCTGCGGCCCGGGTGGTAAATGATTTAACAAAGAATCGGACACATTGTCTAGTGTCAGACGGTCTTTGTGTGATAGGTCCTTTTCTGCATTGTGTTGGAAGAATATATGAAGCCACTCGGTCCACACACTGTCTACACCAACACATCTCTGACCATTAGACTCGCTACCAGCATCTTGCAATGGGGAACAAGTATGTGCACTGCTTCACACGTCGTCTCTTTGTACTCAATAAATTGTAGAGGTCAAATCTACTCACGTAGCTGCCGAATTGATGGCTGCAATTGGAGGCCACCAGCCAGTGATTACAAGGGTGCTGGGATGCTCCTCCGCAAGCACTATGTCGACGCTCATCCACGGCATCTCCTCCACTGTTCCCATCCCGGGTGTGAATACAACGTGTTGCTTGCGAATAAGCATATCTTAATCGTGCACGAGAGGGGTCAACATGGTACATCCGGAAACAACGCAGGGCTGGATAGTTCGCTAGTGAGTCGGCCGTTACAGTCGTCTCAGTGACGCGCGAGTCAGGCCGCCTGCGCGTTACGTCCCGAGGAGTACCATCCAGTCAAAGTTTATATGCGCTGTTATTCAACCTTCTCGTAATATTTGACTTTAGAATTATGGATTAAGCATAGTCAATGGAAGATTATGTAAATGACCAGAGACTACGATTCGATGGACGTATGTTCTATGTACACATGTGCAAGCCATTGTCCGCTCTGTTTCTTGTTAGGATTGAGAGCGTCAGTCAAAGTTGAAAATGCCGTGACATTCGCGGCTGGAACGGCGACATGAGCAGAGTGCGCGACATTTGTGGTGATGGGCTGAGTTGGAGCTTGGAAGGCCGCCATATTGGGATTGAGAGCGCTGGTCAAGGTCAAGAAAGTCGTAACAGTCGGCTCGGGAGCAACATGAGCAGGACGAGTGGCGTTCATGAAAACAGATAGAAGCGAGGCTTGTGACGCAATCATTGAAGCCTGACCGGAGACATACGTCGAAGTCCGCAACTTTGAGGCAATGTCTGACTCTCGAAGTGTTGCCCCTTCGTATCTGCCGTTATGCTCGGATACAGCGTGTTTCTTGATCACGGCTTTGTTGCAAAAAGCCACACTGTAATCACATCCTGGTACGTTGCAGAAATAGCGATATCCTGGATGCGCATTCCTCATGTGGTGGGTGACGGCTCTTTGCGCAGTGTTGTAATCGCTGGGCAATGAATACCACCCACATTGGATTGAGCATTGGCGTTGGTGGGTGAGGCCTCTACATGCAAACAGTGAGTACATGACGATCAGATTCCAATCACCGTGCCGCATGCATACTCTTTAGCCATTGAGGAAATGTGTGGAACGTTGGAGGCTGAGAATGAATTTTGACAGTGGGGACTCACAGCCTTCATATACCGTCGAACCAAGTTGTCTTTGTTTGGAGTGTACGCACTGATAGCTTACTAACAAAAGGCGCTCACGAAAAAAAACTCATTCGGGACTTTGTTTGTCCCTGCATATCCCGTGTCAATGAGAACGACTTTGTGATCCCTCTGAGCTCCGGCTGTTGCTGTGTATTCCGTTCGCGCCAACCTACTAACCATCCAGTCAAAATTTACATGCGCTGCTCTCCAATCGTTTTTGGTTTTTACTTTGGAATGGTGGATTAAACGTAGTCAATGTACTATTATACGACAAAGAATGGTTTTTTTGGCGGAGGTATATATCATAATGGATGTACATAAATTAATGTCCGCTCGGTTTCTTGTCAGGATTGAGAGCGTCAGTCAAAGGCAAAAATGCCGTGACATTCGCGGCTGGAACGGCGACATGAGCAGAGTGCGCGACATTTGTGGTGATGGGCTGAGTTGGAGCTTGGAAGGAAGCCGCCATATTGGGATTGAGAGCGCTGGTCAAGGTCAAGAAAGTTGTAACAGTCGGGTCGGGAGCAACATGAACAGGACGAGTGACGTTCGTGAAAACAGATGGAAGCGAGGCTTGGGACGCAATCATTGAAGCCTGACCGGAGATATACGTCGAAGCCTACGAGGTCGACGTCAATGGCATGGCAGTGGTCGTGGCGATGGACGAAATTGGGCCCTGGGCAGTGGTAAATGATGAAGCCCACTGGAAGTCAGATGGCATGATGTTAATGAACTTTTTGTCAATCTGGTATTGGGACAATTCGAGCTCGCCGAAATCGCGAAGTGTTTCCCCCTCGTATCTGCCATTATCTTATGTAAGTAGATAAATAGCTGGCGCGATCACCACTAAGGTTGCGATCGGTCTCTGGCTGAATCATACCACCATGTCCATCACGTCCTCGCCCGTACTAGAAAAACTACACCTCATTGCAAAATCCATCATTCAGAAAGCGACATTTGCCGTCCCGCCGTACGCAGTTGATCACCGAAAACTCCTGGAGAGCATGTTGGATTTTGCTCCGTCGAGCGAGGGAAAGCGGTGGATGGCCGTGGCTATACATCACGCAGCGGATGAAAATGCACTTCAGGATCTCGCTCAGAGAATTTTGGAAACCCTCCTTTTCCCTTGTATGCTGACTCGGACTTTCTGGGATGCACAGACTCACATTTGGGGCTGGGTTTACTAGTGTTGTCGGCGGCGTGGGATAGAAATCAAACTGCGGACGATGCGCCGGTAGAGAATATGGAGGACGTATTGACTAACAAGGCGAGTGTCTCCCATTAATTTGCACCGCCGCCCTGACGGACGCCGTAGCTCATGTCGCGCGAGCACTATCAATGCATCGTGACTGGGTTCCTCTCGGATCGTATCCCGTATGATGATCTTGAATCGCGAGCCATGCAGCATCCTGGGGTCGGTATTGCTGACCTAGAAGCGGCATGTATCGTTCCCCTTGCTCCCAACACACCGTCGGTACGTCTCTCATATTCTCAGCTAGCCGAGTCTCACGCAGTACTATACATGCAGGAGGCGCCAATATCGCACACATGGGACATGCTCAAGTCTTGGACGCAGATGGACACGGAGGGCTACTCAATGGAATGTCCGGAAAACAGTGTCTTGCTCACAAGGAGAGAGCGCAGGGCGTTCGGGATGTTTAAGCTGTGGTTCGAATGTGTACGTCCCTGCTTCCTTCCCTCTTCCCTCTCGCATCTGACCGTGAATACTGACGAGTTTGCTCTGAAGGTTCCAGGCGCGGAGCACACATATACCGTATCCTGGAGGGACCATCAGTTCAGTAACATAGCGCTGTCCGACGAGTCTGGCCGACTTCGAGTTGTTTTCGAGGCGCAGGAGGTGTATGAAGGCGAAGTGATTCCGCCGCCAGATGCAAGACTGCTTAGGGCACACGCCGCGCTGTGCAGGGTCTTGCATGCGTGCGGTGCGGTGAAGGTATATGAAGGGTGGAAAGAGGATGAAGCCCGCAGTAAGAGGGTTGTTGATCATGCGTCGCTGGTGTATGTGAACTCGCTCCTGATGGCGAGGGCCCAGGTCGAAGCTAACGC